GTTCTGCATCTTTCCTTGCGCTGAGACGAGACGTACACCACAGTCTCCCTTTGGCTCGCGCTTGCGAAGCTTTCGAGTCTCCTACTCCGCGCCTTGCCGAGCCCTTGAGCTTGCAGGCTTGACAAGAGACTCTTCAGCAAGTGGCAGGCGAGGTCTCGCTTGATGCAGTCAACCTACCCTAAGCGGCCCGCGCGGTCCTCGACCACGCGGTCGCTGCATGGTGGCTTGTTAGCAGTCACAGTGCGGGGTAAGCAGACCTGCCCACGCATCGTGGACCGAGTCGCATTGCTATCGCTAGACCAGGCTCTCCACTCTCCTCCAGTCGAGCGAGCCCTCACACTGTCATCGTGTCGAACTGCAAACCCGTCTCCAAAGTGATCGTACGCTCTGACTGGACAGGGGCCGCCATGCTTCCTTTGACCTTTTCGCACCCCTTCTGAGACTCGTCTTGAAAAGGCTTTCGGTTGACACCATGACTGGCTCTTTGCCCTTGCGAGACGCGACATCGACGCAAGCACAGCCACAGAAGTCGGCTCGGCTCCCACACCTGCGAGTCTACAGTAGTCACCCCAGCGCAACGCACCCTGCACGGAGGTCCTGCCACGATTCGTGGCCAGGTTTGCAGAGAAGCAGCATGCAGATCGTGCCGCCACCCAGTCAACAATCACGCATGACTCACCGTCCTCACAGAAATTCAGCCTCGCGCAATAAGAAGTTGCACCATCTCCATGAGATAGCCTACAATCCGCGAACGGATGGCACCGTGGTGGATGCGTATGTCTCAAAGGGCTCTTGAGCTTCCTGGTGATATTCAGATCCACCATGCACCAACGCTGGACAATCGAATCAAGAATGTTGAATCTTGACAGCGCTCAAGAGTACTCGTGAAGCAGGCGAGGCGCGTGACTCGTGGCGAATTCTTTCTTGATTCTTTGCAGCCACGATGCACTGAGGGAATCACGTGATGTGTCCTTTTCGATGCGCGCTTGGATCAGCCTGCTTCGACGCGACGCTGCAG